TTTTTTTTTTAACTGTAGCGAATTGTACATCCTTTAAATTTTCCTCACTTGAAGAATACATTACTATGCATGTGTGGAGCAAAAATCATGGGTCAGTTGTGATGTACATGCAAGTTATTTAACGTGTTTCAGCTGTCCCTCTTTTCCAGCAGTACACGGTCTACCTGTACTGTGCATTGGCTTCAGACAGTCGACACACTCAGAGGGTGTTCCCATAGTGTCAGCCCTTACGTAGCATTGGGATAATGTATGAAAGGGAACATACATATATATTTTTTTGTCCACAACAATGTTTTTGACAAAAATATATCCTTCTCAAATATAAGCTTCTCATCAATTCTATTTTTAACCCTCCAGAATAGCTTTCTTCTTAGACTTAGCTCCTAGACCACTGTAAGTGAGCATCAGTCGATGTTCTACAGCTCCTAAGGGCATATTTGTGAGAGCAATCTGTCAAATTATATATTTTTGGGGGCTGACCTTCTCAACCCACCTAGAGACGATAGAAAGATAGAAACTTAGGATAGAAAAGTCCTGAATTTCAGCTGAGACCAGGACAACTAGATGAGCCCCAGAGACAGATCCCCAGTGAAGACCTTGTCTCCTAGACGGCCATTGGGACAAGAGCACACAAACCAGATGAGCCTTTTGCACAATCTAACTTTGCTGCAGCATGGATCAACCTGCTGCTTCGTCTGGCCGGAGGAGAATTGGCCCCCCGACTGAGCCTGGTTTCTCCCAAGGTACTTTTCTCCATTCTGTCACCGATGGAGTTTTGGTTCCTTGCTGCTGTTGCCTCTGGCTTGCTTAGTTGGGGACACCTAATTTCCAGCAATATCGCGACTTGATTGCACAGATACTATTTAAACTGAACTGAGCTGGACGATGACATCACTGAATTCAATGATGAACTGCCTTTAACTGAAAATTTAGTGTTTACTATTGTCCTTTTGCATTGAGACACTATTTTCCTATTTTGATACTGTAAAGCTGCTTTAACACAATCTGTATTTTAAAAGCGCTATATAAATAAAGGTGGCTTGATTTGACTTTGAAGTGGAGGTAAAAATATTTAATAACTCTTTATTCAAATCCATGTTAGTCACAGAACAAAAAATTTTTTTTTCCCAGCACATACGTTGATACACAAAAACATTGATTTTAGGATAGTAAAAGCACAGAAAAAAAGTGCAATGGAAAATGAGGTTAGAAATCCCTGTAAAGCAGTATTTTTTATTTTCTATGGAACACCCTTTAAACTACACTAACCAAAAAACAACATCCTATCAAAAACATGGACAAAAAAATGCACAAGTGCATCCAGGGGCCTGTTCTTCGTACGTCACTAACTCAGTTAGCTGGATTTGACTGTTGATGATTTGGCATGATCTTGGATTATTTGGTCCTTCGACGCTCATCCTGGATTTACTGTCATAGCAACAGGTCCGTAAACTTAAACCTGCTCAGGAGCAGGCTTATTTCATGTAAACGGGATTAGATTGCATATTTTTAAGTGGAATTGATATTTAAAATCTATCCCAGCCACTGCTACTTTATTACAAGAGTACCCTACTAATCCGGTGACAATCATTTAAATTTATAGACCTAGGAATTAAAAAAATTATTTGAAAATAATATTATAATGTTGTGTGATCTATAATACTATAGAGACCGTTTTAGTCATTGAAAGATTTATTTGTGATAAAATAATTACTTTAGAATTGTATTAGAGCTAGTTAATCGGAGTCGTGCATTAATTTGAGTGCTGACAGCTATTATGGGAGTGGCTTGAGGGAGTGCAGGAGATGCAGATAACTTGATCTTGACCCTTAAGAAACTTTAATTAATGCTGTCACATAGCAAATCTGCTTCAAAGATAAAATTACATTAATTGCTAATTGCATCATTGAAATAAAAATGTAAAGCCTGTGTTCAAATACTAGAAATCGTGAACATAAAAATTGGGAATCACATTAAAAATAAAAGAATAAAATAACATATGCACATTTAAGGTCCAGAAATTTCGCTTTTTTTGATTATATGATGTCATTACGTTGCTGTCTTGCCACCAGCCAATCGCTGCATTGCTGATCGTGGTTTCGAGTATTGATACATCCCTTTACGGGGGACACGAGAACGCGCAGTAGACAACTTAATCCAGATATTTTAATAAAATCCACGAATTCGTTTGAAGAACCAAATTAGCCAGAGATCAGTTATCACGATTAGAAGATCTGGTATCTTTCAAATCATTTCAGATGTATTAAGCGAGGTACGGAGAACGGGCCCCAGGTCTGGGCTCATGATGTGGAGTGCATATTTCAACAATCAACAGTTCACAACAGTTCAAATGAGTGCATGTATCTTAAAGTAACAAGTAAACAAATAAAGAAGGAATAGTTAAACAACTGTTAGCAACTTCAAAAACAAAACAAAAAAATTACAGAAAAGTATTTTATTGTTTTGAACTTTTTATACTTTATAATAAGTTGTATTGTACTTGCTAACTATCCGAGAGATTACTTTGACAGATTGTACAATATTACGGTCCCAAAACCATTCAAGCAATATTACAGTATAAAGTGCTGTATATAAAGAAGCAAATATGCAGCAGCATACTGTGCTGCATACTGTTCCTCAGGTGCACAAAAGGCACTATTTTTAAATGTCTGTACTGATGTCATTTGTAAATCAAATCAAAGTTTTCCCTGATATGAGAGTGACTGGGTAAGACAACAGAAGTACTTCATCCAGAATCTATCTTTGGTTTCTTTCTTGTCTGAGAAGAACAGAGAACTTCCATGTGTCGGTGTATTGTGAGAGCAGGATCTCTTCAGGGAAGAACTCATCCACCTCAAGAGGAATGCCCAGATCTTTACGCTCCATGTAGGACACAACAGTGTCTTTAAGACTGGAAGACAGACAGAATTTAGTGAGTTATGTTCAACAAGAGCTTTAGAGTGCACATCACCACAATATTATTAAGGCTCCCACAGATTCTGCTCTGCAGATTCCTTTAGAATACAAAACCCATTCACAAACTTCCCCATATTTCCCTGCCAATCGTATGTTCATGAAATATTTGATTAACTTGATTATAGTATTTTTAGTGCCACCACAGTCTTATGGAATTTTTTGTAAACTGCATTCAAATTTGTGGGTGATAAAAAAAAAAAATTATATTCAGACATTTTGTTTTTACATTTTGGTCAAAAACTATATATATTAATGAGACAGACATTTTTATGGATACATGCCATGGACACTTCAATAAAACAGATTCATAAATAAATACTATACTGTTTTCCACCCCCAGTGTAAACAGTGAAACTTTATCTTTCTAGTTGAGTGTTCTTAAGCCTCTGTATCACACAGTTTACTCAGTTTCATGCTTTGGATAGCCTTTCCTAGCATACTGAAAACCATTGTGTCAACTATATATAATCACTTGACATAAATACATGGTTAATTCAGATATTACTTTCATTTCTTGAGGGTAATTTGGTGTGATTGCTTCTCACTGAGAGGGGCTTAGTGGAGGATCAGTTCCACAAAACCAGTCAGCAATTACTTAGTTTTACAAGACTTCAGTACAAAAAACAAAAACAAACCAAAACAAAACAGCTATTGCTATAACTTGCAGTTCAGTAATTGAGTCAAATGTTGATTCTGATTAATTCAGTGAATTTATTCAGTAAAGGATTTGTCAGACTGATTCAAAACAGTAATGTGAGTGAAAAGAAATCAATGAAAGGTGTTCATTCAAGTAGTCTGCTTGTGAATCAGACTACACTAGCATTGCAGCACTGGTAATATTCCTCAGGTCTCACCCCCAGTCAGGCCTAAAGGTGTCCATGGCTTTTGGGTTCTTCAGGACCAAAAGCAGAAACTCATGCATCTCCAACAGGAAGGCATCAGCGCTGGACTTTGTGAAAAAACTAGTGAGCAGTATCTTGTGTTCTTCCAGCAAAGGATGTTTGTACTCTTTGCTGATGCCCACAAACGGGTCCTGAAGAGAAGATGAACAGTCATTATCACATAAAAACTAATTGAAAGCACAAAACAGAATACTATGTTGAGTGTCTCACCCTCTTCAGACGTAGCATTGTCTCTGATTTCAGAGAGCTGAGCAGCTGCCACAACACCACACAGTGTTTCAGGCTGCACCTACTTAATGCCTGCACACAGAATTATAACTTACAGGTATCACACATTGCCAGAAAACAGATTAGGGATTGAAAAGTTATCATGGACGTTTTCTATTGAAAAAACAGAAATGATAGAAATCTATGACTTCCGCTTCAGAGAAGCTAGTTAAATGTGACAGGGGTCCATAAAGTGTCACCCTATGGAATGACTGTTCTTAATTTCAGTGTGCTACTTTTTAATTTGATTATGAATAGTATGTAGGTCTTTTTTTAGCATCTCATGTCACAAACACTGCTTTTAAAGTAACATCAAGGTATTTCAACTTTTAAATATCTCAAGGCCTCTACTGTTTTTTATTTTAACATTTTTTAACACAAGAATGTGTGTTAACCCCCCTAAGAGAAAATCGTCTGATCATGACATTAAACCAATCTAACTATTGTAGGGATTCCTATCTATAACAGACACTGATATGCCATGGAACCAACCATCATGAGGTCTAAACTAATCACCCCATCACATGACTCCAATAATCTGGGCTGACTTCCTGCCAGTCTTGTCGTCATCTACTGGAGTGATGAAAAACTGATCCAATCAGGAGATAACACAGAGATCTTTTGTATCAGGACTATAACCTATAGATACCTCGTAATGTCTTGTGATCGCCAATGAATAGAACTAGTATATCCAGCAGGAAAAGGATGAGTAAATTAACTGATGCCCTCAGGCCTGCAAACACGGGATCTATACGTGACCATAACATGACCCATTGAACATCTGCTTCCTGCCCCTTTCTGAAACCCAACGGACCCATGTTCTTTTCTTACAACAAAACAAACAGAACCTTGCATGACGATCGTAAAAGACAATCATTTAAAATCATTTAAAGTATCGGAGCAATATACTCCCAAATAATATGCTTTCAGTTTGATGTAACCTATGATATTTTAATCTTTGCCTTATGACTTTTCCTTTTAGTAGATAAGATTATTAATGTGTATGCAAACTACCCGATATGAGCTTGAACGAAAGCTTGTTTTATTTCCAGAACATTGAAATGAGTGAAAAGCTGTTATTTTCTCTCTCTAGAACTGTGGCTTTTCACCTTGGTGACCGCGTGACAAAGCGCTCCCATGCCGTAACATCACAAGCGAGACTCCAAAACTCAAACACTTCAGTTGAAACTTCGTGATTGCCAGATATCTTCAAAAGCCTAAAGTCTTGCAAACTCAGACCTTTTCAGAAGAACTGTTCAAGCCTCTGCGTCATCAAGAAACCAACCAATCTCCGAGGGGAATCTCCAGAAACCACGTTATCCAGACGCCCGACCAGCAACCAATCAAAAGCTGGGATTCCCTCAAGCAGCCAACCAGGAAGCTTGTAACGCAAGTACCAGGCAAAATCTTTTCATCTCTTGCTGAACTGGTGAATTGATCTTAAAGTAGTAAACGTAAGACAAATCTCTGCTTTGTGATTCTCTCAGGTTGAATTTAAAAGAACTCGTGGAAAACGAGTTAGAACTTTGAGAACTTCATGCAAACTCCACTAACTTTCATTCTTCAGAACTGTATGTGTGTGTATGTGTGTATTTTAGCTTAGTTTAATGTAATCTAGAATAGCCAATAAATTCTTGTTTCATTTATAAAGAAGTATTGTCTGGTGTCAAGTTAAAACTCTGCCTAGATCCTTGTTACCTTGCTCAAAATTAATAAGATTACCATTTTGTTTGTGTGTCGTTGGCCACGAAGTAATATGAACAGAATCGTTAATATACATGGACGTTAACGTCTCGCTGGACGAGTAGTTGATAAAGTGTAAACTATCAAATTTGAAATCAGGTCTTTTGAATAATTAATTTCATTGTAAAATTCAATGAGTTAAATTCCTTACACTATAGAGGGATTCCTTAAGACCAGTGAGGATAGCATCATATTGCTATATGATGCTATCCTCACGGGTCTTAACGAATCCCTGTATATTTAGATTGGTTTAACTGCTCCATTGGTTTCACCACTGCTCCAAAATAATACATTTAATAAAGAAAGTGTGTGTTCATGACCAACCTTGAAGACATGTGGGGCCATGTGGTCAGTCATCTGCAGCACCTCCTTCAAATAAGTGGCCAGCTGCATGTGTGGCTCTCCCCCCGTCATGGCGAGGAAACCCATGGCCAGTTCAACTGTGGACAGGGCCTCACACACGTCACTGTAGGACTGCAGCTCCTTCACAAGGTCGTACTGTGTCAGAGGCTGCAACAACTCCTTTTGATACACAATCACATGACAGCTTGTGACATTGCTTGTGGCTTGTATTAAAATGGTCAAAATATATCTCTGCATTGTAACCATGGATTTAATTAAATGTACAATTTTAAAAGTTGCATTTAAACAATATTAATATTCATTAAGAGCATTTTGAACAATGGACCAACGTCTAACAATAACATAACTGATACAATGTATAAGATACAGATTTAAATGTATTACGCTAAAAAACATTTATAATTTAAAAAAATAATATAACTTACTTGTTGAACTTTGCCCTTAACATCTTTAAATATGATCTCATAATTTCTGTCTTGTCTGTTCACCAGTGTCGGAATACCCTGAAACACGAAGAAACAAAAACACAAAACAAAACAAATAATTATAATTTTACTCATTTATTTACTCCACTGATTGTCAAGCCTGAAGAACTCCTAAAAAACAAATCTGAACAGGCATTTTTCAGCTCTTGTGGTGCTGTGACATACATTAAGGGTGATGTGTGGTTTGCCCTGTAGAAAACGGGTGAGGATCTGCTGCTGAATCTTGGGTAGGTCGTAGTCCTCCAGGGTTTCCTGCCCACGCTCCATCCTATATTGGCAGTTGGACAGCACCAGAGGCAGAAGATCCCGCTCATACTCATAACGGATCACGTGCAGCTCTGTCAGGTCAGCTGGGCTTACCGTGTAACTAGAAGGAAACAGGACAGAGAATGGTATGGATAGATGGGTGCCTAACTGGGAAATTGGGTATGGTGGGTTTAAAGTTGCAAATTTAACCGCTAGCTCATGGTGACTCCGGGTTCTGAGTGTTGTGTTTTTTTTTTCAGTGTGTTGCTATGTGGTCCCTAGGTTAATATAATGTTAATATAATTTAGTTATGGCTCAGAACCCTCCTTCTGTATGCGTTTTTTCACTCATCCAGCATCAACAGGTGTTTTATCATCTGCAAAGTGAAAACTGTAAGTCCGATCATTCATCAAAGTAATAGTACACCTCTGTTATTCACAAGCCACATGATTTGAAATGTTTCAATGAAATTGGATTTTTTTTAAAAATTGTTTTTAAATTATTGGTCTATTTAGTACTTGTGTTTCATTGTAACAGCAAAATAATTTGGTCTATTAATGACACTGTCTTTAAGAACATGTAAATTTGCTGAACGGTCAATAAGAGTAAAACAGTAAACATCTGATGACTCATGGTATGAAATATCTCTCATAGCCACAAACGGTACAGGATGAGTTACACCATGATGATTAATACTTAAGGTTATAGGTTTTCTGAACTCAATAACTTCAGCAGTGACTACTATATCAAACACCAAAAATACACGTGACAAAATTTGCTGAATCTCTTACCCAGACTCCTCTCCAGTGTATCTTTCAACAGTGTAGATAAGGTCGTTGTGTAGGGTGATGAGGTAGCTGACGAGGGCAGTGGAGCACAGGCCCAGGCCGCTTCTTTGCGGCAGCAGAACCTGCAGGTCTGCGTCCAGACCCAGTTCCTCCCGGGTGTAATCGTCCGGCAGCTTTATCTCTCCTGACACAAACAGACCATTTCATGCATCGCTCATCAATGGAAAAAATAACAGACATTTGTCTAAGAAATGACTGCACAGTGGTCTAAAGTGGAAAGAAAGTGATCAAGACAGTGTAAAGAATAAGTCTGTGAATGTTTGTGAATATTTGGATTTCAGATTGCACTCATAAAATGAGGTCTGAGGTCAATTATAGACAAACACAATCTGACTAAACTAATAACGCACATTTAACACTTATATTGAATACATTATTTAATCACTAAAAGTGTATGGTGGAGAAAGTAGCAATTTAATTTTATATATTTGTAGACAGGGTATCTTACCTACTTATTTATGAATAATAGGTCTTTAGCAATGCTAAAGCCTTGTCCAGCTTTGTGCATCTCTGCAATGTGTTTTTAAATATTTTAAGAATCTTTCTTTAAAAAAAAAAAAAAAAAGGATTTGTCAAGTCACGTCAAGTCACCTTTTTTTTTTTGATGGTAACCAGGCTTTGTGTGACTGGGCAGAGCACCCACACTTCCAATCTCATTTCCTTAACTGACTTCAATTAGCTTTTAATTTTCTTGTGCTCCTAATGTTTCAACATGTTTTGACCAAAACTTAGATTGTCTGATTCGGTCTGATATCCTACAAATTAGTCGTAACACAGAGGTTCACTTATAGTGCTTTATCCAGCCTGCTCTGTCAATGACCAGTCAGTGTCTTCAATAACATTTTGAAAAGTACAATGTTTTGTGTTATTAGTTAAGTCAGACTGTGTTTGTCTATAACTGTGACTTGATGAAGATCAGACCACATTTTATGAGTAATCAATGCAGAAATCCAGTTAGAGTTTACAAACTTATGCTTGCAATTGTAGGTAGGAGTTGGTTTACCTGTGGTAGCCAGAGATACCCTGATTTGGTTCCAAGTTGATATAAAAATGTTTATGCGCTTTTCATACCAAGCAGTGAGTGAAGCTGTTGAATGAAAACATGGCACAATCAGTATGTTTGCAATGAAAGTAAACTTTATTAATAACCAAATGGCATATGCTTGCATGACTGCTGATTTGGGACTACATTTGTGCTGAAATGGGTAAATCAACCATCAACAAGCGTATGAAATTACAAGCGTATGAAATTATAAACAATGAAATGATCAATCATGAATATCTCCATACTGACTCAACACTTTCCATGGTAAATCATCACTAATATATGGTAAGTACCTGCTTTCTGATTTTGTAGGAACTCGCCAATGGTGTTGTGGTTAAGCTCTGTCATGTTATGGAACATCTTTACCAAATCCCTCTGGAGAACCAAGATGTCCGGAAGGAACCGTACCATCCGTAGCTCTGCTTCCTGAAATATACAGCTTTACAGTTTCTGTTTTCTCTACATGACATTATTTTAACACAGATGTTTTCCACTCTGTTTTATTACTGCAGATAAACCCACCACTAATCAGTATGTTAAAACAAAAACTATGGCTGGTCCTTCATATGACAGTAAGACTAACATCAAAGTCGACCAGACTATGCTAATGGTCAAAGGACTGTCTACACAACATAAACAATCTGCCTAGAAAGCAGGCATCATGAACTGCAGTCTCGAACTGGTTGAGCTGGTAGTTCAACTAATGAGATACTGTGGTTAATACATATCTTACCCTCTGAAGGAACTTCCAGAGCACTGGCAAGGTGTCCCGGCCACTGTTTTGCTCCACAATGTGGGTCAGACTCAACATTGAGACCTTCCTCCTGCAGCTCCAGATGGATGAATTATGGATGAGGGAGTTCTGGGGCAGAGAGCGCAGGAACAGCCCTGGTTCCCCAAATGTCAACTTCATCACTGGATTAGAAGACACTCGCTCATCTTTCCTGATGAAGGCATTCACTTCCTTTAGCTGAAGCTCCAAAACCTGAGAGAAAGATCAAAGAATGGAAAGTAATAATCAGCTAAGGGTTCTGAGAAGTACCGTATTGACCCGAATATAAGACAATGTTTTTTTCTTGGAAATACATCTGAAAAAACGCGGTCGTCTTATTGACATGTCAAAGTCTAGACCCTGAATATAATACACCCACAACAATAGGTGGCGCCAAATACGCATAAAACAAGTGTGCCATGAAATACGTAATGTAATGCGTGTTGTAAAGATCGCGAGTAATACCGTATTGACCCAAATATAAGACAATGTTTTTTTCTTGGAAATACATCTGAAAAAACGCGGTCGTCTTATTGACATGTCAAAGTCTAGACCCTGAATATAATACACCCACAACAATAGGTGGCGCCAAATACGCATAAAACAAGTGTGCCATGAAATACGTAATGTAATGCGTGTTGTAAAGATCGCGAGTAAAACAAAAGAAAAAGAAAACCTTACAGCTGCATGAGTCGTGATTTTTTTTTAATGGTATATCAAAAAGTGTATATTTTTTAAATGTGATCGTTGGTACATTTTACCAGTTTTTACCATACTTTCAAAACAAAAATTTAAATAGGAAAAATATGCAATATGAAAATAATTGAAGACAAAATGTGTTTTACTGAGAAAAAACAAGATTTGGTTTTTAAAAAGCCTTTTTCCAAAAGGTACATCTGGGAAAAGGGGGGTCGTCTCATAATCAGGGTCGTCTTATATTCGGGCCAATACGGTACTCTACTCTGAGGTCATTAATGCAACAATTAATCAACCATTCAGCTTTCGCTTTTATGTTAGGTCCAGTGTTATCAAACAACTACTCAATGAAAAATATTTTTAACGGTTAATGAATTGGTTGATTTCAGAGGCAATGAAAAAGGAGGGAAATAAATGGAAAAGCAATCATGATTTACACATCTAAAACTAAGATGCAAAAAACTTTAAGTTGCATAATTCTTTCTTGGTTCAGTGTACTAAAAGATGACATGTTGCTCACCTTCAGCTGATGTGTGATAACGTCAGTATTCATGGCATTTTCCCATCCATTTCTTGCATCTTTAGTGAAAAGGTTTGGGTCATAAGGAACAGGCCCTGTTTAGAATAACAACATTTTATATTTCTTGAATTTCTGAGGCACGAGATCAATATGGGAAGTGACAAATATAAAGTGAGGTGTGGGACTCTTACACTGGCTGGACTGATGGGGATCCAGTAGACTGTGGATGGTCAAATGGATTGTACCGACTGTATCATCCAGCCCTTTGTCTAGAGCTCTGCTCAGCTGCTCCATGTCTTTCAAAAGATGGGCCATCAGGAATGGACCAGGATCCAGCACAGCAGGCTTGATGATCTGCCTGACACTCTTAAGAGAAACATTCAAGAATATGGGATGACTATAGTAAAAGGTGCTCTCTGTAAGTTTTTATGTTTAAGTTTGCCTGGATTTACACCAGAGCTGGGTTCGGTTTTTAATACAATTCCTCAGTTCTTCAAACGCATGTGTGTCTGGAATGAGTTGTCCGATACAATTGTATCAACACTCAAAACCACAATCAGCATATGATATATATTTAAAAATAAATACAATGAACTGTGTGTATATATATATACACACACACACACCTCTTTGGAGTGTTACAAGCTCTTGGTGCATATAGAAGATCTGTAAAGTTGCAAAGACTAAAGTCTCAAATCCAAAGAGATATTCTTTATAAAAGTTACCAGTCAGCCACACCTAAAACCTACCTACGTCACTATCTGGGAAGATTTGCATAACGCCGCCCAAATGTTCACGCAAAGAAAGAAGGCGTAACTTTTATTCTCGCTGTAGTATTGTTGCCGCCACTGCCATGTCGTGAAGGTGCTGTGTGCTTCGTTGTGAAAGCGAAACTACTTTGTTTGGCCTTCCAAAAGAGGACGATATCTGCTTCGTCATGCCTGGAGCTGATCCGTGCTGGTCGCTGAGGAAATACTTCCAACTTCACGCTGTCGATCGTCGGATCGGCTTTCACCGTGGACGAAGCGGAGTCCAGCCCGGGGTCATCACATGTGGTTGCCGCAGGCATCACAATATGGTAAGGGACATAACATTTTCGTCACACGCTTGAGGAATTCGGCCAATCACAATGCACTGGACAGCTGGCCAATCAGAGCACACCTCGCTTTTTCAGACCGATGAGCTTTGTAAAAATCGGCGCGTTTCAGAAAGGCGGGGCATAGAGGAGAAACAATGTACAGTATGTGGAAAATAATGTGTTTGAACCTTGTTGTTGAACCTTAAACACATTTCATTACACCAAATACACAAAATAATGTTCTTTTTAGCAACATCTTATGACCCCTTTAATAACTTTTTTAGTGTCAAGCAAGTCATTTAAGTAGCAGTCGCGTGCCCAGTCTATTCTCTGCTATATGAGTCAACCTAAAACTTTGACTTTTCACAACATTTTGAAGTAGTTTATTAAAATAAATAAATCGCACAAGGGTCTCACCTCAGTTGTGGTATTGAGAGTGGAAGAGAGTGCTGGTCATTCACTCCCTCCACCTTCAATCCCTGCCGGTACAGAGGCTCAAACCCATGACTTACAAGTTACAAGTCCGACTAGGCCTGTCACGATAACGACTTTTTGTTGTGCGATATATTGACCCAGAAATAATTGCGATAAACAATATTATTGTCATTTTAAGACCATTTTATGCCACTGAATATATAATCATAATATAAAAGCATTATAATGCAAGAAGGCCAACATACTTTCAAATGACAACAAAACTTTTAATTCTTAAGAATATTTAGATCATGGAAATGAAGTATCAAAATATTAGATACCTTAAAAAAAATGTAATAAATAAGTAAATAAACATTTTCTAACAAAAAGTGCAAAGTAACAAGTAGAAAAAAAGAAATAAAAAATCACAAATAACTTGTATGGAGATTTTTCCATCTACAGAATGTGACGGATTGGCTGCCTCCCCCTAATTATCATCATCACCCCATCCCTTAATCGCCGCCCTTCACCAGGCTCCCGACAGGAGACGGTGTGTGAGAGAGGGGCGCAGAAACAGCCAGGTCTGGCGGTGCGTGATGAGGCACACCTGAAGTAAATGGAGCCTCGTCACCGCCACTGTTATAAGCCGAGTGCGCCTCTCCTCGAGAGATCGATCTCTTTCCCCGTGCATGCACGCTGGTGTCCTCGTGGGTCCAGGAGGGGAGCGTAGAGGGATTCCCACGCCGCCAGAAACGCAAGCTGTCGGACCTGCTGTCCAGAATGGAACCGCACCCATGATGCGGTCGACGGGCCTGGATGCCAGGCCGTTATTTCCCCCCCCCAAGCGCCGTGGGGCGTGGGCTAGGGACGATGAGCCGCTGTGACTAAGCCGCCGCCCCTCCAGCCTCGGATCAGAGAGGGGAGCTTATGAGCCCGCTGGACTCCGCCCCCTACCTGGACCCCTCCTTCCTGAACACTGCCCTTTCTTCACAATTCCCCGGCACAACAAGGACACCAGATCCCCTGTTTATTTTGAACACTTCTTCCCCTTTGGACACTTTATTCCCCGTTTTGGACATTTTATGTTTATTTTCTGTTAAATAAAAGCCTCTCCGAGGGCTGACGCCACACCCACTGTGTCTGTCGTTTTCTTCTCCTGCCACAACATTTTTCCCGGACCTTCTTTTCTCTGTAAATTAAGGGTGCACTGTACTGCTGAAAAACAAAATCCCTACTTAGCAGTCAGATGTCCATATGCACAAAGGCACAGATCCCTAAACAAGGCCATATCTGCAGATGAAACTTTTTTGTAGAAGCATTTTTTAAATTTGAACTAGCACCAACTACACCACGTTATGTACGAGAAGCAGCAAAAGACACTGGTGCAAGTAGAATGCAAAAAACATGGTGACATTAATTTTGATGTAAATTTAATGGGCAATACATTGCGTCACCAAAAATTGAGGTCATGTACATACAGTATATTGTGTGATAAGTCAATATATTGATTATTGTGACAGGCCTAAGTCCAACTCTCTAACCATTAGGCCACACATTTATTATATATATATATATATAAGACTCATGGCTGTATTCGATCAAAAGGGTGCTTCTACTAAATACTGAGCAAAGGGTCTGAATACTTAGGACCATGTGATATTTCAGTTTTTCTTTTTTAATAAATCTGCAAAAATGTCAACAATTCTGTGTTTTTCTGTCAATATGGGGTGCTGTGTGTACATTAATGAGGAAAAAAAAATAACTTAAATGATTTTAGCAAATGGCTGCAATATAACAAAGAGTGAAAAATGTAAGGGGGTCTGAATACTTTGCGTACCCACTGTATATAACAAAATGAAAACCACAGCAGGCAGAAAGAATGTAAGACCTGTGGATTGTTTTGACCTCCCAGCAGCATGGACACGTGTGTGAGCAGTCTGAGAAGAGCGAAGGGGGCAGGTGACATATTCTTAGTGTCCTGCATGTCAGGTTGGTCACGCCGCTGTGCATCACCCAGAATGTGTCCCGACTGAGTACGGTCCCCTCTGCAAAGAGGAACAATTGCCTCAAATTGATTAAAACAATTACCTCTAAAGCAAATCTACAGCAACAATTCAACAAGGCTTATTGAGCATAAAAAACAAACAAACCGCATCTATACAAATCATTATTATGGATAATAAACTGCTAAATTTAAAATCAAGAAAAGTCTTAGTCAAACCTGGATCAACAGCAGTCACTTATGTAAGGAATGACAAGAAGGAAAGTATAGTGTGCAAGTCAATAATGTAAAATAAACCTAAATTTTTATTAAAATGCAAATTTTTTATAGTTCAGAAAAACTTTACCATAAAGTTTTATGTTAACATTACTTATACAATATTTTACATTAAATAATACTTCTACAACAATTATTAATTTCTTAGTTAATGTCTTCATATATTAATGCACTTTAACTTTCAAGGAATAAAAGAGGAAGAACAAGCATTCACTGCAGGAGTAACTCACTGTATCTGCATGGCTTGGAAGCCTTGAACAGGATTGTGGTTGGTGCCACCTATTGGTGCATTACAGTCCGGACACCGACCAACCTCCATGGGTCGACCACACTGGAAACATACATGAAGAAAACATTTTTTTTTAATTTTAAGAAGAATCTAATCTAATTCTACACATTAATGTATCAGTAATGCAGTGTTAAGACAAATCATAGGACTTAAGTCACATGACCATACCTCACCAACAGTGCATGGATGACCATTAGGGCAGACTTTCAAACACAAAGAGACACCAGAGATTAGGAAAAGAAGTAAAAAAATAGATGGGCATACATTTATTATTGTTCTTACTGTTATTTACTCAATATAACAAGACCCAGGCAAAAATGTCAAATATATTATCCTATACATAACAACGTTCTGATAATTAAGTTCTATTTATTAATCACTGCATTAACATGACCTAGGACAGGGTAACATGATTTAACATGGCATTTCAGGTCAGATATTAACCACTGGGTTTCCAGGTGCACTGAATTTTTATAGGTCTTGAATTTTGCATGACTGGCAAATTCTATAGCAGCACCAATACACAGAATCCACTCACAATACCACTGAAGTTGTCCCATGGCCTGCTGGGCAATTGCCAACATGTCATCAGGCATAGTTGGGATGAAAGAAGCCTGTGAGGAGAACATGATAAAAATATCACACTCAAACACATTCTAGTCACCATGTGAAGCGTGAAGGGTTCATACCATCATGTTGTTTGGGGACAGTGCCAGCCGCTGCAGTGGCTGAAGTAAAAGCAGATTTCCACACAGCAGGACTGCAGCCATGTGAACTGTGACCTCTAACAGCATAAATTCTCTGCCTGACGTCTGTGGTTGTACATGCAGAGCACGCAGATTATTTTTCACCAGCGCTTGAGCAAATGCTCTCATTTCATTATTGATGAAGACATCTGAGCTTCTGATAAAATCTTCAAGGCCAGCACATTGCTACAGAAAACAACATGAATATCAGACATACAGGAGTAATATACATTTATTAAAAAAATAGAATAAAGAAAATATGGCTTATTATATATAATTGTTGTGTAGCATATTGTGTTTTTACCTCAGCTTTAGGGTGCATGTTGGGGTTTCCACTTCTGTACAGGGAGGTGACTTCTCTGAACAAAGCCAGTAGCAGATAAACAGCTTTCTTCATGGGTGTGCAGTTGCAATCCTTCAGACAAGGATGTTTTGTAGCAGTTTAACAAAATTGAGGAAGAGAAATGGCAAGTATTTGATTGCATATTTTATTAAATTTAATTACAGTGTTCGTGTAGTGGATATGATATCTACAAGCTAGTGAACTCCCTTGTTTCTATCTAATGAGGCATCCTATCCCAACTGGAGCTTCACAAGTGACTGAACTGAATCGGTTAATGGTCACAAGCAGGGTCAGAAATGAACTTTTCCATTAAGTGGCAAAATATAACAATGTTTATAATTACCTTATTAAATGTATCTGTTGCATTTTATGTCAAACTTAAAGTTACTTGAACTTAACCAATTTCTTCAATCAGAATACTATTGACAGTTACCATTAAAATGATCAACATCAACAATCAGCCATCATTACATTGCAAAGGTGTTGAACAACAGAATCTGCATCTTACATGGCTCTTTAATAGTAACAGCTGTAATAGATTTAATTTACTTGTGCAGGAGATTTTTTTACCCCTCTTGAATTTTTGACTGACCCTGGTCACTGCCACACAAATGCCACACAGATGCACTCTGGTATGGTCTATAGGCAGGTTTAGGGGTAAGGTTAGGGTAAGGAGATAGAAAATAGTTTGTACAGTATAAAAACCATTACGTCTATGGAATGTCCCCACAAAAATGGAAACAAGTATATGCGTATATATATATATATGTGTGTGTGTGTGTGTGTGTGCGTGTAAAGAAGCAAACAAATACCTTAATAGCTTTCTGTATTCCGTTCATGTTGCAATCTAGTATGCCTTTGGCTACTGCATCTCGAATAGTTTTGTAGTCCATTCCACATGCTAGATACTGGTCAATTTGACTGTCATCTTGATTCTGAAAGAAATAAACTTACAAATTAAAAAATAACTCATGTCACTCATGTAGGATATCAGACCGAATCAGACAATCTAAGATTTGGTCAAAACATGGTTGAGGCACGAGGAGTCCAAATTCCACAGAGGCCCAAGACAACAGGATGTCATAAATCAGACCCTAGCCAGTCTAAAGCAAGCCTGACCAACTCTTTCACAGAACAGCTTTCAACATTAAAACAAAAGAACACTTATTGACAATTCGGTTTAAATACTCAGCACACCATCAAACTTTGCTTTTTGTGTCTTGCTTTTAGCTTTTTTTTTTGTCTAGCTTTTAGCCATGCGGCTTTTAGCTTTTCACTTCTAGCCATGCTTCTTTAGCTTTTGAGCGTGCTCTGGCTTACACGCCATCTCCTCCAAAACCATGAGGAGAAACGCCACCTAGTCTCGTCAAACTTTACTTCTATTGCTATTTCTTTAGTTTATTTTATTTTCCGTTGAGAGCTTCGCGTTTTGAGTTAAGTTTGCCTAACGCCGCATCTCCGAAAGAGTGCCGTATAAACTTCAACTGCAGACCACAGCTCCGCGTCGCCAGCAAACGCCCAATCACTGGCTTCCCAAGACTGAACCTCCAGCCAATCAGCAACCTCGGGAAACCCCTTTCGGCAACCAGACAAGGAAGGAAACCCCGCACACAAGAAAGCAAGTACCTCCAGATCCTAGCTGAACTGGTGCATTTACTATATATTTTAACCTCATTGAGGAACTCAATGTGAGGGTTAATTAAGTGATTGATGGTTGTTCAGATCTATGCAATTGCACATATTGCTGTAAACTTGGGATTTCACATTTTCATTCTCTTAAACTAATTATTTCCTCACTTTCTCTCTTTCTATCTTTTGTTTTGTGCTCACAAGTTAATGTCTTAAACTGCCAACCTTGTTACCGTGCTAATTAATAATGTTTTCACTATATTTTGGATATAAATATCCATTGCAGAATTCATATGTCATGTTCAATGACTCGCTGGCCGTCTCAGTGATCAGCCGTAAAACAGTGATTCTGTCCTAATTCCCTTACATATTATTGGTGGAGTTCCCTTTAAAATCTTAAATGATTCCCTTTGAGCTAAATTGACCTGTTTCCCTTACACTCATGTCAGGATAAGTTAATTCAACTAAAACCCACCGACTCAAGAATCTCCTGAGGAAACAGCCACTTGAACCCTTCCTGTGGCAGAAGTTTCTGGACATATTCAACCCCATGAAGACTGCAGATCTTTCGGATGAGGTAAATCCTGTACCAGTCATTCCTGCTCTGGCAGCATAGATCAACCACACTGTCCAAAAACGCTGGGATAAAAGCTGAAGGATCATCGTGTACACCTAAAATGAGGAAAACAACATCAATATCAACAGAAAAATTATTAATTTTAAATAATACAGACATTTTTTTCAACTCTTTATTTGTTGTTTTTGGGTGAATCTCATGAAACCATTCTAAGGTCATAATTCATATTTCATGAACTGTTGCAATAATGTTTCAAAACTGGGGAGAAATACAGAAAATAACAAAAAAAAAAAAAAGTAAGTTCCTAAAATAAGGTTTGTTTTCTGTGTGCACATTTAAAAAATTTTTTTGGGGTGAAATGTAACTTGGACATGTTCTGTCAGGTTTCATGATATCATGTCACGCACTAAAGCATAAGCACAAGCACTAAAGGCTTTTTAAAATTACCAGCACTTGTCAATCTATTCATTAGCAGGCCAGCAGCCATATCCAGGCACAGTCGAACTCTGGCCATGCGCTGCAGGTGCTCTATAGATGCAGTGTGTGTAGACACAGCATCAGAGTGAAGGAACTCCAGTAGAAAATGAGTTTCCTCCTGTAAACAGGCCTGCTGCTCCGCCACAGAATGCCACTGTGTTCGATCATACATTGAGTCCTGCAGACACAGGAGCAACATACTGTTCATTCAAATTTTTTTAAACATACAGCACATAAGGGTATTTTAACACTAATTCTTGAGAAAGTAACATGTAATTTTATTTACTTAAAGTAAGAGTAAGTTAAGATGGTATGCTTCAGCAGAAAATTATAAACTAGCCTTAATCAGCATTCAATATTTTCACAGTAGATATGCAGTTATTTATATCATCAAAAATATTTAATGTCATAAACTTCAAAAACTAAGCCATAAAACATGGCAGGTGAATGCGAGTTGGTCAGGGCAGTGATATACACACCTCTAAACAGTTTATGTACAAGGAATAAAGCTCGGTTTTATCAGTCTCCTCAATGATGTTGCTTTGCTCAACTTCTGTCAGATGTTGCTGAAGATAGTTCTTGACATCATCAAAGCTGAAAGAGGAAAAAACAAAAACTATTATATTCATAAATGTTTAAGAAGAGTGTGCTGTGAGCTGTTAGAAGCCCTGCGCTTACCTGTACTTGAGCAGGAGTTTTAGCACCACTGAACGCACCACTGGATTTTTATCGACAGAGTCATCAAAGGGAGAAAGAGCCTTAGTCAAGAACCTCCGGTCTCGCCCTGAGAGGATGGGGAACAACGTTCTTGTCATTTATTCATTCTAAACAAAATCTAGATCTCCATACTTAATAAACGGACATACCTCTGATCTGAGGGAGTGAGCAGGACTCTACCATCAGGAGGGACAACAGGTGGAGGATGATGTCTCTGCTGGGAGGAGTGTTGTCCTTGAAGCACACAGTGGTGACCAGATCAATGAAGAAAGCATTGCATCGTATTCTGAACAACGCATTTTGACTAATGAGATCCCTAATGACCAAAATAAGCACATAATATTTTAGACTGATAGAGAGAGAGAGACAGACAGACAAACAGAGAGATAAAGCACAACTATTCATCCCCCAAAAAACTGCAGAGTACCGTATTTCATCAGAGGCCTTGAGATCAAAGCCATCAGGCACTTCCTGTACACACAGAGGGCAGTGCATCTGGCCAGGCACCAGCCACTGTTTGATACAGGTTAGGCAGTAGATATGGTCACAGGGCAGACTCAAAGGGTCCTGAGGGTCTCCCATGCACACTGGACAAAGTTGAATGCCAAACCTGTGTAAACAAACAGTAACAAGTCACCACAATCCTTTAATAGCATTTTACTGAACCCTTTGATTAAAGAAAATATAACTAATTTTAAAAAATCATACCTGAAAATGCTTTGAGATGCTCCATCTTTGCAGGCTTTGAGTATGGTGATCACTGCCTCAAACGGATGCCTCTTTTTGAGGTTTGAGTCCTGCTCTAAGACCTTTAGCAAAGAGATTTGTGAGAGTGTTGATAAGCAGAAATGAAACGGTTCAAGGAATTATTTTCAAGGAAATGGACAGAGTTGACTCACTTGTGCTAGACGTCGAGTGTGTTCCACAACTAGTGGCCTGAGTTTCAACCTCACATCTCCAACACCCAGCAGCATGTGCTCGACAAACAAGGCCAGAGAACAAATGCGACGCCAGCCATGTCTGAATATTAATAAGCAAATGATGTAATTGATAATAAATTATAATATTGATAACTACACAATACAGTAAATAGAGTTTGATTAGCAGCCAAGCCAGCACTGGGGACAAGGTTGTGTGCCATTCAGGTCTGAATTGAGAATGAACTTGAGAATTTTAAACGATTATACTCATTTAATTTCTGAATTGGAAATGAAGTAGCAAACAGGATACAAGAATTGTAATTCAAATCGGAATCTACGGACAATTTAAATATAAGTGAAATTCAGAATAGAATAGTGCACAAAATCATACAAACAAACTCACACAAAAACAACATATGAGGTAATTACAGCAGCATTAGGTTAGATGACCTGCTTTTTAAACTGAACTGTAGGCAATTATATCAATGTAATGCAATATAGAGCAGGACTTCTCAACCAAGATATACAGTACGAGTTAGACTAATTCTAAAAGTATTATTTCTAGACTCTGAAAAAATCATGTAAATTAATAAAATCTTCAAATTCCATGGACATTTTTATGATTAATATAGACATTTCTAATTATGCTCTAAAACATTTTGAGTAGAAATTGAGAGTAAAATATTATTTGAAATCCATATGCTTAATCCTTTGCAAGACCCTTTGCTTAATCCTGATCAACAAACAAGACCCTTTGCTTAATCCTGATCAATTAAATTAAGAACGACTGTAAAAGTCATGCAAATTAATTGGTTAAAAAGAATGGGAATCCCAAAAAAAATTCAGCTCTTAAAATGTCAGGGAATTTAATGTACAGAAACGGGGTGTATTGAATGTAAAAAAAAAAATTTTTTTTTAATTAAATAAAATCATTACAGCAGATGTACCAGAGGTATAACATGTAGCATGTTATGGAACATATTAACCAACAATGATGGGGACCTTGAATATTTCTATGGGCAATGAGGTAGAGCCCAGCATTTCAGCCTGAGCCTGACAGGCCCGACTTATTTACGCCCCTAAGCCCAGCTTCTCCTTCTTTTTATATTTTAGACATCCATCAATTAAAGGGATAGTTCACCCAAAAATTCAAATTCTGTCATTAATTACTCACCCTCATGTTGTTCCAAACCCGTAAGACGGGTGTTGTGTTCATCTTCGGAACACAAATTAAGATATTTTTGATAAAATCCGATAGCTTTCTGGCCCTGCACAGATAGCAATGCAACTGAAACATTCCCAGGCCCAGAAAGGACATTGTTAAAATATTCCATGTGACATCAGTGGTTCAACCATAATTTTATGAAGCTACGAGAATACTTTTTGTGGGCAAAGAAATAAAAAACAACAACTTTATTCAAAAAGTTCTTCTCTTCTGCTTCAGTCTCCACCGCCATTCACAAGAGTACCACGACGCATGCGCTGCACCTTGTTTATAAGCAGAGTAATGCACACACATGCGTCGTGGTACTCTCGTGAATCACGCCAGAGACTGACCCGGAAAAGAAGAAATTATTGAATAAAGTCCTTATTTTAGTTTTCTTTTCACACAAAAAGTATTATAGTTGAACCACTGATGTGACGTGGACTATTTTAACAATGTCCTCACTACCTTTCTGGGCCTGGGAATGATTCAGTTGCGTTGCTGTCTATGCAGGGTCAGAAAGCTCTCGGATTTCATCAAAAATACCTTAATTCATGTTCCGAAAATGAATAAAGGTCTTACGGGCTTGGAATGACATGAGGGTGAGTAATTAATGACAGAATTTTCATTTTTGGATGAAGTATCCCTTTAAGGTGATGGAAAAGATGTGCTTAATTTAATTACTTAAATCCTAAACCATAATGAGCCTTTAATATATAGGCTAGCTAGGCACTCATATATGGCGCTTTTACACTGCGTGGTACGACTCTGCTCGGCATGGCTCAGTACGGTACGACATGGCACGGCTCAGCTTGGTTTGCGTTTCCACTGCAGTTCAGTACCGCTTTAGAGTGGGCGGGATTATTCACATGTCGTTATAGTTGCGCCACCTCTATTTCTGCGACTCCTGAAAAACGTTTTCATTCCGCGCCCCATCAAGCTCTCGCTGGATCCGCTCCTCTGCTATCAACAAGAGGAACGTCTGTACTTCCTCAACAGACATCGAAACAGACACTTTTTGGTTGTTAAAAAAGGTGCGCTTGTTCAAAACAGTTGCGTTCGATCCTTCGCTGGCTGTGCTGATTTAAATCTAGCGGTTCTGTTGTGTTTGTGTCGCTAGTTCAGTAGTGACGATTCTCTCCGGCCAATCCGTGATCAGCAGAGTTTACACATCACATTTTGGTAACGGTACGGTTCACTTGGAACCTCAACTGAGGTGGTACTAAAAAAAGTACCAAGTACCAGGTACTGTACCCAGTGGAAAACCCCCCAAAAGTGAACCGTACCGAGCTGTACCGTGCCGTACCATGCAGTGGAAAAGCGCCAATAGCTTGCCGCAAAGCAACCATTTTAACTATTTATTAATAAACTAGTAATCACTTTGCCATTAAAAACAACTACAACTGAACTATTTTAATGGCTGCAACAGTTGTAAGAATTCCTTAATAAATAATAATTCCTTACATTTATATAGCGCTTTTCTGGGCACTCAAAGCGCTTTACATAGAAGGGGGGAATCTCCTCAACCACCACCAGTGTGCAGCATCCACCTGGATGATGCGACGGCAGCCATATTGCGCCAGAACGCCCACCACACACCAGCTTATTGGTGGAGAGGAGACAGAGTGATGAAGCCAATCAGCAGATATGAGGATGGTTAGGAGGCCATGATGGTCAGAGGCCAATGGGCGAATTTGGCCAGGAAGCCGGGGTTACACCCCTACTCTTTTTCGAAGGACATCCTGGGATTTTTAATGACCACAGATAGTCAGGACCTCGGTTTAACGTCTCATCCGAAAGACGGTGCTTTTTGTCAGTATAGTGTCCCTGTCACTACACTAGGGCATTAGGACCCACACAGACCACAGGGTGAGCACCCCCTGCTGGTCTCACTAACACCTCTTCCAGTAGCAACCTAGTTTTCCCAGGAGGTCTCCCATCCAGGTACTGACCAGGCTCAACCCTGCTTTGCTTGCACTTATGCGTGCACTCTGTAGGTGTGTTTTGTGTTTGCTTTTCACGATATACTCATAATATCAAATTGCACATCGTTAAAACAACAATTAGGATATTATCGCAGACCATATATATCGCACACCGTTTTTTAAAAAATATTTTATTTTAAGCTTTTCACATTTTAGAGAACAATCCCCCAACCCCCCCCCCATGCCAGCAAATCAAAGGAAAAATAAGAAGAAAAAAACCCCCTAATGACACTAATCAATGTAATCATGCATATATACATACACCCACATATAGTATACATATACATCTCCATAAACATACATCGTTCATACTTGTGTATCTATACAAGAGCACATACAGCCGTCTCTAAATATACACAAAAAAAACAAAAAAAAACAATTCCTTTGGTTATTCCTTCCTATACCAATAAATACCCAATTATGGAAATATATATTTGTTACACACTGCTATTTTACTAAATTAACCACCCTACATAAAGAAAAGGGTTAAATTCAGTTATCATGGGTCACCTTCAAAATATTCCAAGAAGGGCTTCCAAATCTGTACGAATCTCTTTGGTTTACCCGCAATCTCGTATCTAATTTTTTCCATATGTAACACATTACTGAGCTCTGTAAGCCAAGTTTCAAATTTAGGCGCAGACTCTTTGTTCCACATCAACAAAATTTTCTTTTTTGGTATAGTCATCCCATATTTAACTGTTTGGATCTGACTGAAACTATACTTCTCTAAGAAGGGGTCCCAGCCTAATATTGCAATAAGAGGGTCATGAGGAAAATCAATCTTGAGTACCTTTGAGTAGAAAGAAAAAACCTCAGTCCAAAATGTACACATTTTTGGGCAGAGCCAAAATAAATGAGCCAGTGTACCCTCATTGGACTTGCATTTGAGACATAAAGGTGACACAGAGGGATATATGGAATGTAATTTGGTACGGGAGTAGTGCAATCTATGGACAACTTTGTACTGAATCAACTGAAAATTAGAGTTGACGGCGCAAGACCTAATACCTTGGAGGGCCTTAGTCCAATTATCTTCTGAAATATCTATCCCCAAGTCCTTTTCCCAAGACATCTTTAAGTATAAGGAGTTCTAAAATCATTAAAATATTCAACATATTTAGAAACAAGACCCTTTGAGTCGAGTTCAGAGGTCATAAATAAATAAAGATATTCAGGGGACTTGTAAACTTCAAAATTAGAGATATTACTTTTAACATAATTCCGTACTTGTAAATACCTGAAAAAATTAGAGGAAGGTAGCTCAAATTTTTGTCTAAGCTGAGCAAAAGAAGCAAATACATTATCTATACATAAATCTCCTATAGACAGAACTCCTTTCTCTTTCCATGCTAAAAAAGTTCTATCCGACTGTGATGGAAGGAATGCATGATTGCAAGCAATAGGGGTAAGTGAGCAGGTCTGAGGGAGTTTAAATATTTTTCTGAGCTGATACCAAATCTTAAGAGAATTTACAACAATAGGGTTACATTTCTTCAGTGTTCTGATAGGTCTGTTTTCTGCAAAGAGTAAAGCAGGGAGGGAGGATTCCTGCATATCCCGTTCAATAGCCAGCCAAGCAGGAATGGTAGCGTTCGATTTCCCGGGGCATGCAATCCACCAATACATTAATGCCCTTAGGTTGGCTGCCCAGTAGTAATGCTGAAAACATGGAAGACCTAGGCCTCCTACCTCTTTTGTTTTACAAATATGCGCTTTAGATATACGATGAGCTCTATATCCCCAGATAAACGGCATGATCACAGTATCAAGTGTTTTAAAGAATGACTGGGTTAAAAAGATAGGAACGTTTTGAAACAGATAAAGAAATCTAGGTAAAGTAACCATTTTGATTGCATTAACACGACCAATCGACCAATAAAGGGAGTACTCGCCAAGTCTCTATATTCTTCTTCAGTTTATCTATCATGACCTTGTCGTTTGTTTCATACACGCTTTTATAATGTCTAGGGACAGTGATACCAATATATTTTAATTCGCTTACAGTTTTAAAAGGGAGACTATTAATAAAACCTGAACCTATATTATCATATAATGGCATAAATTCACTTTTCTGCCAGTTAACGGTGTATCCGGAAAGGGCACCAAACTCTCTAATAAGATCAAACAGAAAGGACAAGGATCTTTCTGGCTCTAAAAGAAAAAGAAGAACATCGTCCGCATATAGAGAGATCTGATGTTTTACATCTCCCATAATAACAGGAGATATATGCGAGTGATTTCTTATACTTATTGCTAAAGGTTCCATAGCGATAGCAAAAAGTAAAGGACTCAGTGGACAGCCCTGGCGGGTACCACGATGAAGGAGAAAAGGAGGGGACCTATTATTGCTTGTGAGAACTGAGGCAGAAGGGCAAAGGTACAGCATCTTAATCCACGAAGAAAAATTTTGTCCCATACCAAATTCTTCTATAGTACTTAAGATATAAGTCCATTCCACCCGGTCAAATGCCTTATGGGCATCCAGGGCTAGAATGGCTATTTTATCATGTTTGCCTTTATTTCTGTACACAACATTCATAAGTCTGCATACATTATGAAAAGAAAATCTCCCGGGAATAAAACCAGTTTGATCTTCGTGTATTATTGAGCCAATACATTTACTTAGCCTATTTGCTAAAATTTTAGTAAATATCTTAACATCACTACCAAGAAGGGAAATGGGTCTGTAAGAGGAGGGGTCTGTACTATCTTTATCTTTCTTTAAAATCAATGCAATATTTGCAGAATAAAGTGTCTCTGGTAATTTAAACATCCTTATAGAATCTTTGAACATCCTTGCACACCGCTATGTTTAGATTTTTATAATGCATTGCCTTCTTATCGATCCACCAGTTCACATTAAAAGCTCTGCGTGTTTGCAGGGTAAAAACATGGGTCGAATTTCGCATTGGTCTGAACTCAGAACAAAACAACAGTTTTATTGAAAATGCTCATTCATTCTCTGCCAGCAGGTGGAGCGTTTGGTAGAAATATAACTGTTTTCCCGGTAACGGCAGAACACAAAGCAGCGCAGCACCGGACTCTGAACATGCAGAGCTCTTGTTTATTTAATGAAATCATAGCCTTTTGAAGTTTAATCGTCACATTCAGCCATATCGCAATTCTGGTCTTTCTGTCCCCAAATTTAAGACCTCTTGAAACCACAATTAAGACTTTCTTGTACAATTTAAGACTTTTTAAGGCCTTAAATTTGATACTAAATTTAAGACTTAAGACTTTATAAGACCCCGCGGAAACCCTGTTTTAGAGCTCAAAACTCACTGGATGTGGGTGACCATCTGTTTTCTTTTCTCTCCATAGTGGCGTAGGCTCTCCTCACAGCAGACCAGCTCAATTGGCACCTGTAGTTTTTTTACACGTCTAAGCCAGGCCAGACTCTGAACATCTCCATCTAGAGTCTGGGGCTCCAGATATTCAATACAGGCCACAGCAGCATACATATCTAACACCTGAGAAACAGAAAAGTGGTCAGAGGGAAGTAAACAATGACTGTAATAAATATTTTCATGCAAACTTAGGCAGCAGAAGAAAGTTGAAAGCAATTACCAATTCTATGCCCTCTCTGGCATATCTGTTATCAATTAGCATCTGAGCAATCTGAGGCTCTATACTGATCATCCTGTAGAGGTTCTGTATTCTGTTCTTGAAATGGTGGTAGGCAGCATGAACCCATGCCAGAGAAATGACTTCACTCTCATGTGCTTCCTGACTGCCTCTAAGCTCATGTACACCACAAGTAAGGGCTCCCCGTAAGAGCTACAGTAAAAGGTAAAAACCACACATGAACAAGTGTGCTTGGATGTGCAAATGATGGGTAGAAATCTAGCTTTGAAAGTGTCTGACTCTCACCTTGAGATCCACCTCTGATGTTACATTCATGGTTATGGAGATGAAATCTTGGAGATACCTGTGGAAAAACTCCATCTGCATCTCTTGAGTTGCTTCAGAGATGTACCTGCCCAAGGGCGTCTTCCAAAAGATCTCTTCAAATTGCTTTATAGTGTGTCCTGTTGAAAGTACAAATACATCATTTATTGTTTACATTTTCCTCTGTAAACAACAACAACAACAAAGTTAAAGGAAAATGAAAAAAGGAACTCTTCAAGAGAACTAACCTGATTTAAGACTGATTGCTCATTAAAAAAATAGCAAGGGAAGAAGTTGTTTAAAATACCTTCTCGCTGCAAAGCATGCACCCAGAGTTCCTCAAGATAATCTTTAATCCTCCAGCTGAAAGGCAAGGTGCAACCCATGCTCCTGTCAATTGCAATGTAGTTCTGAACCAAGATTGTCTTCATCTCTGAACTATAAAACATAGCGTTTTCAGTTACAACAATGACATTCTGCTAATGTAGACATGAATGCTTAGAAAACGCATTGTTAGTGTATGATTTTGATTTACATAACATGCTTTTGCTTTCCATTCTTGGGGAGAATTTGAGTTATCATAACGTTCATTGCCATTAATGTTATCATTTGGGTAGCTAACTATAAACCAGTTGATTAACTTGCTCACAAGGATTCTCCTTGAACTGTTGCTCATAAATGTCAGTAGTTGACCTTAAAGAAAAAAACTGACTGAGCAGCAATGCTGAGAATACAATGCATATTTGCTTTGCATTATGAATTCCTGTCAGACACATAGTACAATCAAGCATGTAAAACTAGGAGCATTAGCGTACTTGCATAGAGTATGTTTTGGGCCCAATGGCTTACAAAATGCATCTTGAAATCATATAATTACATACTTGCTTTTCACTCTTGTGTAAGGAACATTTAGTAACTTGAAATCTCCAAAAACGTCCAACCACAGTTTCTTCAAAGATTCTTCAGAGTTTCTATCCAGCAAGAGGTCTAGATTGCAGTCACGGTCAATAATTGAAACAAGTTGCGCCAAGAAGGGAGTTACTACTGCTTGAACTCGCCTCCACAGGGCATGTCTAAAAAACAGAAACAAATAATTATTAAAAGTAGATATGAAGAGAGAGTAGAAGGTATAGGGTTTTACAAAGAGCCAATAAGGCCTAGTCAAGCCAAATAGGCTACATGTGAACATCTGAAAGGTTACCAACCAAAATGCTGTGCAATTTACACTCTTTCTCTTACACTTTATTTCTCTTACAGACTTTAATAAAGAATTTGCTGATTTTCTATCTGAATTAGTGCTAGCTGCAGATAAAGTCTTAATTGTTGGTGATTTTAATATCCATGTTGATAATGATAAAAATGCATTGTGATCAGCATTTCTAGACATTCTGAGCTCTTTTGGGGTTAGACAACACGTGTCAGGTCCTACTCATTGTCGAAATCATACTCTAGATTTAATACTGTTACATGGAACTGATGTTAACAGTGTTGAAATTATGCAGCAAAGCGATGACATCTCAGATCATTGTCTAGTCTTGTGTAAACTCCATATAGCTAAAACTAAATTCAACTCCTTGTTACAAGTATGGTAGAACCATCACGTCTACCACAAAAGACTGCTTTGTAAGTAATCTTCCTGGTTTATCTCAATTCCTCAGCATATCCAATAGCTCAGAAAAACTTGATGTAACAGAAACTATGGACTCTCTCTTTTCTAGCATTTTAGATACGGTTGTTCCTTTATGCTTAAAGAAGATTAAGGAAAACAGTTTGACACTGTGGTATAATGAACACACCCGCACCCTAAAGAGAGCAGCCCGGAAAATGGAGTGCAGCTGGAGGAAAACAAAACTAGAGGTATTTCGTGTTGCATGGCGGGAAAGTACCCTATCCTACAGAAAAGTATTACAAATTGCTAGATCAGATTACTTTTCATCTCTTTTAGAAGAAAACAAACATAACCCCAGCAGGGCTCGACATTAAGCTTTGACATGTGCTTTTCCTTCGGACAAGTAAATCAGTCATTCACTTGACCGAGTAAAAAAAGTTACTTGTACGGGGGGGAAAAAAGGTGGTTCTTTTTTCTTTTGGCGTAAATGTAATTTATTCTGAAGCAAAGGTCTCATCAGTGCTCTATCAGGTATTACTTTAATCCGCATATTTGCCTTAAAGGGGTCATATGATGCTGCTAAAAAGAACATTATTTTGTGTATTTGGTGTAATGAAATGTGTTTATGCGTTTTAAAGTTAGAAAAACACATTTTCCACATACTGTACATTGTTTCTCCTTCGTTGATTTTTACAAAGCTCATCGGTCTGAAAAGCGAGGTGTGCTGTGATTGGCCGAATACCTCAAGCGTGTGATGGAAATGTTACACCCCTCACCATACTGTTGATGCCGTGTCCCGGCCGGAGCAACGAGACAAAAACATGAAAACCCATTACAAACGAGGCATTTGTTGCATCCAGTGGGGGACATAATTATATGATTATAATGACTTATACTGTCTTTTTATGTGTTGCATCGCACCTCGTAAACATAAAACCCTGTCTGTATTTGTGATAGGAGAAATGAAAAACAACAAGTGCTACTCTACACTGCCCAAAACTCGCATTTGAATCATCAGTGGCAAATCCTTAAAATGAAAACGTACTTACAGTCTGTGTCAGAACTGCCGGCATTGTAGTCTACTCTCCCAGGATCAGTAAACAGTCCTCCATAAAATGTGCTGCACACATCTGGATATTTGGGTTAAACTGTTCTGGAACAGTGTTGTAAATACAACTTAACCACTGATTTGTAGTCGTGTCCTCTTTTGGAAGACCAAACAAAGTAGTTTTGCTTTCACAACGAAAAACACGGTGGCCTAGCATGAGCGGAAGCCGCGGCTTAGCGTGAGCTGAGGCCGGGCTAGAGTGAGCAGAGGCGGCGGGGTTGAGAAAGGCGCAACCGGCGGATTCGACGAAGGATGAAGGACATTCAACCACATGTGACGACCCTGGGCTGGACTCTTTCGTATATCCGGATATCGTCCTCTTTTGGAAGATCAAACAAAGTAGCTTCGCTTTCACAACGAAGCACACAGCGTCGTCACGACATGGCGGCAGCGGCAACAATACTACAGTGAGAATAAAAGTTACGCCTTTTTTTGCGTGAACATTTGGGCGGCATTATGCAAATCTTCCTACATAGTGAGGTAGATATGTGGGGGTGTGTTAGAACGAGCCATTTTAGGTAGGCGTGGTTAACTCTTAACTTTTATAAAGAATATCTCTTTGGATTTGAGACTTTAGTCTTGGCAACTTTACAGATCTTCTTTATGCACCAAGAGCTTGTAACACTCCAAAGAGAAAGGAAAAATTGAAATCGCATCATATGACCCCTTTAAATTGATTGCTGTTACACTTTTTAACTTTATGAAGGACAATATTTTCCTAACCTGATTAAATGTACGTCACCATTTACGCCAAAATCTTAAATTTAATCAATACATTAAGTTAGAATAATAAGACACTATATGGTTGTTACCATTCAAATGAAATCAGTATCAACAAACTAAATCTTTCCACTGCAGAGGAAACACAGAAGCTGCATCGAAAGTCCCATTTAGATGTATTTACTCAGACTGTTTAATGAAGATAAGTGGTTCCATAAATTAATTGACTCAAAATTGCAAATGCTTAAATAATGTTATTAGATTAATGTTTTACTTTTTTTGACATACAAATATGAAATGTGGGAAAAATGCAATGATACTTTTAAATATGAAATTAAACCATCATTGATACAACCGATTTGTTCAAATGGCTGATTCATTCAATAAATGAAGCAAGTGACTGTCTTTATGAATGGCTCACTGAATCATTGACTCTTTCAAAAATGCTGAATCCAAAAATGAATGAATTCCACTCATTCTCTACTATAGGACAGGAAGAATTTTATAAACTTGTTAAATCATCGAAACCAACAACATGTATGCTAGACCCTATTCCATCTAAGCTCCAAAAAGAGGTGCTTCCAGAAGTCATAGATCCTCTTCTTACTATTAGTAATTCGTCATTGTCATTAGGATATGTCCCCAAAACCTTCAAACTGGCTGTTATTAAGCCTCTTAAAAAAAACATAACTTGACCCCAAAGATCAAGTTAATAGTGGTAAGTCAGAATCATTCATCAATCACAGTGAGTAATGGCTTCTTCTCCTGCTATTGTTGTTTGCACCGCTTGCCACATGTATAGTTTAGCTCTCTCTGTCGGCGACGAGGGATTCACATGTGATAAATGCAGGGAAATAGTTAGACTGACAGAGAAGATTTCAGAATTAGAGACACGCATCCAAACTTTAATTGAGGATAGTAAGAATGTGAGGGCTGTAGATATGGCTTTGGATGCGACTAGCTCAGGGAGTCCTGTACATTGGTCGGTTACAGTTGCAGAGCCCGTGCAGCAGGGCAACTGGGTGACTGTAAGGCAGCATAGCCGCGGGTCAAAACACTGCTCTTCCGTTCCGATCAAAACATCAAACAGGTTCTCCCAAATAACATTAAAGAGGTGTGTGAACTTGCAAGTATGATGTCAGACACTATAATATGCTCTGGTACCCTCCCTTGCTTACCGTGGTGACGAGATACATAGCAGACTGTCGTCACTCAATGGCTGGATGTCTAAGTGGTGCCCGCAAAATAACATAGGTTTCATAGACAATTGGACGAGTTTTTGGGGCAGACCTGATCTGTTGAAAAGAGATGGTCTTCATCCCTCCAGGGGTGGTGCCACTCTTCTCTCTAGAAATATGGCATTTAGTCTTAGAATTTGCACATGACTAACTGGGGCCCAGGTCAGGAAGCAGACAGACTGGCTAAACAGACCATCTGCTAGCCACCTCACGTCACAGAAATCAGTTAATTCTCAGCACATAGAGATTCTTTCACCTAGATATCACACTACAGAGTAGGGTTGGGTATCGTTTGGTTTTTTTCGATACCGATGCCAAATCGATACTTTTAAAATGGTTCCGGTGCCTAAATGGTGCCTGAACCGATACTTATTAAAAAATAAATAAATAAAAATTCCCCCCAAAAATGATGGATTGGCCATTAGAATAGAAATAGAATAGAGAGTGCAAATG